GAGGCGCCCACAACGTACTCATCGTTCGCGCAACTCGTCGTCTCTTTGGCCGTCACCGGCTCTGACAGTGTCTGACCCATGGATGTGCTGGTGATGATCACCCGATGGATGTGTTATGACAATCACTGAGTGGTAATGTCTGTGTACTCGATGTCTCTTATGGCGTCAAATCACTATTCAATCAAATCATGTCTGGACTCGCAGTCAGTCACACATCAAATGCTCATTAATGTTACTATCAGTCACTCATACACTCATTGGTGGCCAACCATTGGCTGCCCATTCAGTGACACTTCACGTGCGATAACAAGCGTTGACTGAGTGGTGAACTGATGTCTGCGACCAACGATTCAAATGCGAGAAATTGTTTTAAAATTTGAGTCAAATGTCAATTCAATGAGTGATTCAATGGGAATGCAGTCAAACCTATAGTGAACTCCTATTGAAGAGTTCAAAATCGCAACAAATTATGTTTATTTTGATTTGCGTTGAGATAAGTATTCAGTAGATGGACACACATTGTGTGACACTTTCATAGACAACAGTACTTATATCAATAATACTCTCCCCCTTTGTGGTGCTATTTATAGATTTAATTAACGAATTGACAAAATATATTATATGTTACAAATTAATATTAATGTTTATTACTAACACAACAATTATATGAATTTAAAACCATAATTAGTTTGCGATTTAATGAATGTAAATTATAAACGTTAAGTTTATTACTGCCGGTGTATTACCCCCATAAAAAGTAACACTATTTGTGAATCACTATTAATGTTGATTGAATTGACAATGAATTGAATGAACGGATAGTTTGCGAGACAATTGAATACTACAAGAAGTGGTGAACAGATATCTGCGAGAAGCGGAGGAATGGCCGGTAAGATCCGTATGACTCCCGTCCGGTTCGGGCTAACAATGGCCGCATTCATCGGAGCTGTCGGTGCGGCCATGTATTCAGTGTTCGTATATCCCGTACAACACGTCGATTACTACAGTATGACACTTACCTTGCTTACAATTTACCCCAACTTGTGTTGAATGAGTTTCACAAATGTGTTCATTGTTTGTATGAATGGTTTAGAGGAGAGACAGACGGCTAACAGACAGGGCATCAAACAGGAGGACATACAGCCGGGAGGGATGAGGGTCTGGTCCGACCCTTTCGACCGCAAGAAGTCTTAA